TAGTCTGGCTCTGTAAAAGCGGCAGAGTGTCCTGTGGCACCTTATAGACTAACAGACGAATTGGAGCATGAGCTTTCGTGGGTGAATCCCCACTTTCGTATTCACCCACGGAACAGGACTCTTTGATGACTCAAGGGTTTTCTTTAGGCTAGACAATAGGGGCTGATCGTTCCTGGCTATGGGTGGTGTTTTCTTCCAGGGAGCTCCCAATGCAGTTAGGCAGCTTCAGTATTTTGGATACCAATCAAGGATTTATTACTAGAATTGGTCTGATAACTGCTGAGCTGGGTCTGTGCAGGCGTGGGTTCGTTAACATCTGGAGCAGAGATCCCCCATCATGCAGTGCTTCCCTGCTTTCCTGGTCCCAGAGTTCCCCGGAGTCTCTGTTCTCCAATCTGTATGCTAATGGAGATGCCTCCCTGTCCCATCTTCGATGCAAATGAGCCTAGGGGAGTTTCCTTAATCCTGTCACCCTTGTCAGGAGGGGTCTAGGTGTGTCTCCCACTGCCCTTCACTGCTCTCTACAAGTCTTTTCTCTGATCGGTTTTGGTTCAGGCTGGGGTGGGGAGGGTCCTTCATGAGTCGGAAAGGCTGGATACTGCACCCTGGTTCTCCAAGAACACAGAGCTGACTGGTATCACCAATAACCTGGGGAAGTTCAGGCCCCCCTCTCCGGGACAAAGCATCAGCTAGAACATTTGCGCTTCCCTTAACGTGGACCACCTCCGTCTCATAATCCTGGCAGGACAGGCTCCACCTCAGGAGCTCTGCGATTGGCCCCTCTCATCTGGTGCAGCCATGGCAGGGCGAGTGGTCTGGGTACACAGTGAAGTGCCGCCCAAATAGGTCCGGCTGCAGCCTTTTAGGAGCCCACCCCAGTGCCGGGCATTCCCTCTCTATGGCCGCATAGCACTGCTCCCGGGGCAGCAGCTTCCTGCTCAGGTACATGATGGGGTTTCTCTCCCCCTTTGCATTGGCCTGCCTCGGCACCGTGCTCAGCCCCATGTGTGGGGCATTGGTGAACGCCATAAAGGGCTTGTCAAAGTCTGGGTTTCCCAGCACTGGGCCTTTGTCCAGATCCTCCTTCAGTGAGCAGAGAGCCCTCTGGCACTGCCTGGTCCAGACCAGCTTGTCTGGCTTCCCCTTCTTGCACAGCTCAATGATGGGAGCTGACACAGAGCTAAAGTGGGGCACGACCCTCTGGTAGTGCCCCGCCATTCCAATAAAGGCCTGGGCCTGTTTCGTACTCCGGGGAGCAGGCCAGTTTCTGATCGCCCCCACCTTGGCTGGCTGTGGCTTTAGGCAGCCTCTCCCCACCTTGTGGCCTGGGTACGACACCTCTGCCATCCCCACCTTGCACGTCCCAGCTTTTACAGTCAGCCATGCATCCTGGAGGCGACCCAGACCCCTCTTCACCTGGGACACCTGGTCCTCCCAGGTCTGGCTTACGACACAAATATCATCAATGTACATTGGGGTAAAATTCTCCATCCCCCTCAGTAACTGATCCATCTGGTGCTGGTAGGTGACCGGTGCCTCCTTGAGGCCGAAAGGTAGGACCAGGGACTTGAACAGCCCCAAGGGGTGACAAAAGCAGGTTTCAACCTGGCATCTGGATCCAAAGGCTCCTGCCAGTACCCTTTGGTGAGATCTCTGGTCATGGGGTAACGAGTCGTCCCCTTCCCCCCGCCCCCCCCAACTTGTCTAGGATCTCATCAGGCCTAGACACGGGCAGGTACTAGACATGGTAATAGCACTGAGCTTCTGATAGGCCTCACAGAATCGGATTGACCCGTCTTTCCTGGGAGAGGCCTCTGGGGCTGGTGGGTGGCTGGCCCACCCCTAAAGCCAGCATGTCTCTCACCTCCCCCTCCAGGGCCTGGTCTGTGTTCTGAATGGGGAACACCTGATTGAAGGGCCGGCTCCCATCTCCACCCAGTGGACAGCCGGGTTAGTGAGCCCAGGCCGGCTGGAGAACAGCTGTGGGTGCGAATGCAGCGTCTCTCAGCAGGCAGGGGTGAGCTGGTCAGAGAGGGGAACTGATTCCAGCAAGGGGCCGGCTCCTTTCTCAGGGAAGAGACCCACCAGGGAAGTCTGTCCACCACCGGAAGTCTGTCCACCAGCAGGGGATCCTCTCCCTTTTTCCCCTGGCCACACATGGCCAGGACCAGCCTCTCCCTATCACAGTACAGCTCCACCATGTTGACCTGGTCCCCTTGGTGGCTGTGAGCCCGACTGGGCAGTTCCACCACATTGTTCTCCTCATTCAGCTGCTGGATGACCTTGTAGGGTCCGTCCCAGGCAGCTGGGAGCTTATTCTTCCTCACCGGGACGAGACCCCTCACTTGGTCCCGGTTCCATAGGCCGAGCAGTCGTACCAGACCTTCTGCCTCCCTTGGGCCCTGGCTAGGTTCTCCCTGGCCGGACCCATGAGCTCCCCGAGCTTTTCCCAGAAAGTCAGTCCATGCTCCAGCACTGATTCTCCATCGGGGATACCTTCCCCTCCCATCCGTCCCACACCAAGCCCAGGGCCACCTTCTGAAAAGGCTCCTCTATGAAAGGCAGGTGTCCCAAGGCTGCTTTACCCTGCCCCTGCATCCCCTGCCCCTCCATGCGCTTCCCACAGTGAGTCCGCCCAGGCGGGGTCCTGGGGAAGCCAGAGGGTCCTGCCCCCCAACTCCGCAGTCAGACGTGACTCTCAGCCAGCCAGTAAAACAGAAGGTTTATTAGGCAACAGGAACGCAGCATAGGGGCAGAACTTGTTAGCACAGAAATCAGTGACTTTCAGCCAAGTTCATCAGGGGCGGGGGGCAGAGACGGGGCTTTGGTTCTCCCCCTGAGTCCCAAGCCAGCCAAGACTGACTCCCTTCCAGCTGCCTGACCCCTGCCCTGCCCTTTGTCTCCTTCCCGGGCCAAGAGTCACTTGGTTACATCCCCCTCCTGAGTCTCAGGTGAGGAAGGGGTGGCCTGCAGCTGGAGCAGCCTCCGCAAAAGTCTCACACACTTATTCCCACCACCTAGACATTGGTACAATACACAGGGAAACTGAGGCACACACAGCATTCATGTAAAACTGTAAGACTCACAAACAACATAACAAGGGAGAATCCCCACTTCGTCACAGTATGTACAGCTGTTGGGTTACTTGGGTTTGTGGGGGATCAGTGTGGGGGGATCGGTGTGTACAGCTGTCGGGGGGCGTTACTGGGTCTATGGGGGTAGGTGTGGGGAGATCGGTGTGTACAGCTGTTGGGGGGGGTTACTCGGTCTGTGGAGGTAGGTGGGGGGGGATGGGTGTGACCAGCTGTCGGGGGGGGTCAGTTACTGGGTCCGGGGGGTAGGTGGGGGGGATCGGTGTGTACAGCTGTCGGGGGGGGTTACTGGGTCTGTGGGGGTAGGTGGGGGGGATCGGTGTGACCAGCTGTCGGGGGGGGCGGTTACTGGGTCTGGGGGGGTAGGTGGGGGGATATGTGTGACCAGCTGTTGGGGGGGGCGGAGGTTACTGGGTCTGTAGGAGTAGGTGGGGGGGATCGGTGTGACCAGCTGTCGGGGGGGGGGGGGTTACTGGGTCTGTAGGAGTAGGTGGGGGGATCGGTGTGACTAGCTGTTGGGGGGGGGAGGTTACTGGGTCTGTGGGGGTAGGTGTGGGGGGATCGGTGTGACCAGCTGTCGGGGGCGGAGGTTACTGGGTCTGTAGGAGTACGGTGGGGGGATCGGTGTGACCAGCTGTTGCGGGGGCGGTTACTGGGTCTGTAGGAGTAGGTGGGGGGTCGGTGTGACAGCTGTCGGGGGCGGTTACTGGGTCTGTGGGGGTAGGTGGGGGGATCGGTGTGACCAGCTGTCGGGGGCGGAGGTTACTGGGTCTGTGGGGGTAGGTGGGGGGATCGGTGTGACCAGCTGTCTGGGGGGGTTGGTTACTGGGTCTGTGGGGGTAGGTGGGGGGATCAGTGTGACCAGCTGTTGGGGGCAGGTTACTGGGTCTGTGGGGGTAGGTGGGGGGATCGGTGTGAGCAGCTGTCGGGGGCGGTTACTGGGTCTGTGGGGGTAGGTGGGGGGATCGGTGTGACCAGCTGTTGGGGGGGGTTACTGGGTCTGTGGGGGTAGGTGGGGGGGATCGGTGTGACCAGCTGTTGGGGGCGAGGTTATGGGTCTGTGGGGGTAGGTGGGGGGATGGTTGACAGCTGTCTGGGGGTGGTTATGGGTCTGTAGGAGTAGGTGGGGGGATGGTGTGAAGTTGTCTGGGGGGGAGGTTATGGGTCCGGGGGTAGGTGGGGGGATGGTGTGAAACTGTCGGGGCGGGTTACTGGGTCTGTGGGGGTAGGTGGGGGGATGGTGTGAAGCTGTTGGGGGCGAGTTTTGGTCGGGGGTAGGTGGGGGGATGGTTGAATGTCGGGGTGGAGGTTACTGGTCTGTGGGAGTAGGTGGGGGGATGTGTGTAAGCTGTGGGGGGGTTATGGGTCTGTGGGGGTAGGTGGGGGGATGTGTGAGCAGCTGTTGGGGGCGAGGTTACTGGGTCTGGGGGGTAGGTGGGGGGATGGTTGATGTCTGGGGGCGTTATGGGTCTGTGGGGGTAGGTGGGGGGATGGTGTGAGCACTGTTGGGGGGGTTATGGGTCTGTGGGGGTAGGTGGGGGGTGTGTGAATGTCTGGGGGCTTATGGGTCTGGGGTAGGTGGGGGGGAGTGTGAACTCTTGGGGGGTTACTGGTTGTGGAGTAGGTGTGGGGGATCGGTGTGACGTTGTCTGGGGGGGTTCTGGGTCTGGGGGTAGGTGGGGGGATGGTGTGAGCTCTCTGGGGGGTTATGGGTTGTAGGAGTAGGTGTGGGGATCGGTGTGACGTTGTCTGGGGGTTTGGGTCTGGGGGTGGTGGGGGGGTGATTGGGGGGTTACTGGGTCTGTAGGAGTAGGTGTGGGGGATCGGTGTGACCAGTTGTCTGGGGGGGCAGTTACTGGGTCTGGGGGGGTAGGCGACTCCTCCGCTCTGTGCGGCCAGGACCGGTGTAGACCCTGTGTCTCGGCTGCCCGGCTGATGGGGCTGGAGCCTGGGGGTGGGGGGCAGTGCTCTCCGTCAGGGGCTGGTCCCGGAATGGTGCCCCGGGAGGGCTGGGGCCCTGGCAGCTGACCTCTTCCCTCCCCACCCCCCCGCCATGGGGTCCGGCCCAGCATTGCAGCGGGAGGGGGTCTGGTGCTGCAAGTGGGGCCTCCACAAAGGGGCGTCCGAGCTGCTCTGTGCAGAGCTTGGCGCTTCCCGTGTCCCCCAGGCATAGACTGGGCGAGGCCGGGGAGATGGGGGTGCAGAACCTTTGCCTTGTGGGGCAGGAGGCCCTGGGTGCTGGCTCTAGGGCTGGGCCACGTAACCACCCCGGTGACCGGCTGGCTGCTCGCGAGGTGTCTTCCCAGGGTGCTGAGCCGGGCTTGGGGCGCTTTGCCCCCTTTGCTCCAGGGCGGCCGGGTGTGTGCTCGGCTGCAGGCGGGGAGCGGGGCCTAGCAGCTAGAGCAGGGGCTGGGCACCAGGTTTCTGTTTCTGGCTCTGGCCTGCTGTGTGCTGCTGGGCAGGTCCTGTCCCTGCCCGGTGCCTCAGTTTCCCCTCAGTGCAGTGGTGACTCCTCCAGGGGGCTGCGTGGCTAGTGGGGTGCTGTGAGCACTGGCTGGGGGACTTGGTCAGTCTGGGCCCCACAGCCCAGGTGCTGTTTCCTGGCCTGTCAGCCCAAGAGAGCAACTCCTCTCCCACACGAAACGGGCTGGCATGGAAATGGTTAAAGCCGGCCAACGCCCTCCTTCCCTGGCCTCCCGGGCAGGGGGCCAGGAATGACTGGGATGTGCCTGCTGGGGGGCAGGGCTGGGGCCAGCCGGCTGGAGCCCATGGGGCCCAGAACCAGGCAGGCTGCCCTGGGCATGGAAATGCAGCCTGGCCTCTCACGTCCAGCCCGGCTGGCCCCATGCCCTTGTGCCCAGGCTCGGCCCCTGGCCGGATCCCCACGTTCCCGGCCGGACCCGTCTGACCCGTTCGCCTTTGCAGTTGTGTGCAGTGGAAAGCAAAGCGCTGGGTGCCTGCCCGCCCCCTCTCCCCCAGCCCCACGCTCCCCTCACCCCGCCCCACTTGTGGGAAACTGGAGGGGAAACTATGATGAAACTCCTGGCCAGAGCAGAGCCGGCAAATCTGGTGGCTTCCTCTCTTCCCTTCTCTTCTCCCCCCTCCCCCCGCCCTGTGGTCAGGAGGGCGTGTGGTGCCCGGGAGGGGCTGCTGGGTCCGCGCCCCCCCCATGCCCATATCCGCGTGTGTGTCACGGCCAGGGAGTGAGCGGGCATGCCCCCCCGTGCCTGAGCGGGGGTGGAGCTGCTGTCACTCGCCAGCGCGCTCCGGCTGCTCCGGCTGCTCGGTCTGAGCCAGGCCGGGAGGGAGGCTGCTCCGGCTGCCTCTGCCGAGAGGGCTGCCCGCCCCACGCCGTGCCCCGCGCCCCGCGCCGTGCCCCTCGCCGCGCCCCGCCCGCCATGGTGGCAGGGATGCTGATGCCGCTGGAGCGGCTGCAGGCCATCTACGAGCTGCTCTTCCGCGAGGGCGTGATGGTGGCCAAGAAGGACAAGCGGCCGCAGAGCTTCCACCCGCAGCTGCCCGGCGTCACCCACCTGCAGGTGACGCGGGCCATGGGCTCGCTCCGGTCGCGGGGCCTGGTGCGCGAGACCTTCGCCTGGCGCCACTGTTACTGGTACCTGACCGACGAGGGCGTCGGCCACCTGCGCCGGTACCTGCACCTGCCGCCCGAGATCGTGCCCGCCTCCTTGCAGCGCACCCGGCGCCCCCCGGACATGGCCGCCCGGCGCCCCCCGGACACGGCCGCTCGGGTGCAGACGGTGCCGGGCCTGGCCAGCTGCCCCCCCAAACGCCAGGCGGGCGGTGAGGAGGGCGGGGGCTCGCGCCAGGCGTACCGCAGGAGAGAGGAGACCCGGGAGCAGCACGTGGAGGCCGCCTCGGCGGGGGGAGTGTCCAGGCCGGCCCCGGGACCCAGCCCTGCCCCAGGTTAGCGACCCGCCCCTTGCCGGAGGGGGCAGCGTGCTCTGGGGGGGGAGGGGGGCGTGTGGGGCCGGGTCCTGCCCCCTAGAGGGAGCAGTGCTGGGCGGCCGGGGCAGCTGTGTTCATTCATTCGGGTGGGGGGAGCCGGCAGCTGGAGCCGGCTTTGTTCGAGCCAGTGATGCTGGGTGGGAGGGGGCATGGCCGTGGCCTCTCCTGGGGAGGGGGGGTCACCCTCCGCTGGGGCCTGTGGGGTGTCTGAATGCCGGGGGGGCGGGGCTTGGCAGAGCAGTGGGCATGGTGCCTGCCTTGGCCAGACCCGGGGCTGCCCTTAACCCTTTTCCCAGCCAGTCCGTGCGAGACGGGAGCTCTGGCTTGCCCCGATGGACAGCAGGCAGGCCTCCCACGCGCCCAGCCCCCCCAGTCGGGCCTGGCTTGCCAACAGGTGCAGGGCCCCGTGCTGTCCTTGGCCATCGTCTCCCCGTCGTCCTCCGGCTGTTGCGGTCTGCTGCCGAGGTCAGAGGCAGCCCCAGGGAGAGGGACCCCGACTCTCCGCCTGTGGGGCCCGCTGCAGGCAGCGTTTGGAGAGACCCCTGGGGATGCTGCCAGGCCCAGGTCCCATGGCGGTTGTGGGTCAGAGGCTTTGTCCGGCCTGCCGCAGGCCCTGCAGGGCTGGGGGATGGCCGCACGCAGCCCACCTGGGCTGCACGGGGGGTGGGGGAGCCTGCTGGCGCTCTGGGTGCGGGGCCCTCCGTCCCGTCAGGCGTTTGGGCAGCGTGGGGTCACGCAGCATGGGCTGTGAGTTGTGCCCATCCCAGCAGTGGGTCCCTGCCCAGGGACTGCTCCCTGAGACTGCACCCTCGGCCCGTGGGTGGCACAGAACTGGGGGGGGCCAGGCTCACGCCGGGTAGGGGTCCCAAGCCAGGAGCCTGTGCGGAGTGGCTGGGGGATGGGCTGGGGCCGGTGGCTTGCCAGGTGTGCAGCCTGTCTGGGCTGGTGGGCTAATGCCACAGCCGGTCTGCAGGGGGGGGCACAGGCATCTGACCAGCCAGCGAGGGTGCTGCTCCGGGGGCAGGGTCAGTGCTGGCCGGTGCCTGCTAGTCCTGCCCGTCCTCATGCTGGGGCTCCCGCCCCACCCAGCCAGCACCTGCCCCTGGCTCTGCCCTGTGGGCGCATGGGGCAGGCTGCCCTCCCTGTTTAGGGCCCGTTGTGTGGGCTAGCTGCACCCCACCCCCCTCCCCTGGCTCCTGCGGTGGGAGGGGAGGGGGCAGAGGCCATGGGGGACAAGGGCCTTCAGGGGACGGAGAAGGGGCAGGAGAAGGGTGTTCGCTTCTCAGGGTGGGCATCCGCCAGCCGGGGGCTGCAGCCAGGGGGGTGAGCGGCACGTTTGCACCACCTGGGGCTCGTCCCTGCCCGCCGGAGCCTCGCCTGCGGCACCCTGACCAGGCTGGTGTGGTCGCTTCGGGCGCTGGAGACCAGAGCCCACGTCCGATGCGGGGCCCAGGGCAGGCCCCCAGCTCTCTGGACGGGCCCCGATGGCCGGACAGCCTGTGCGGCGGGAGGGGCTGGGCTATGGCCCTGTGCCCGAAGGGGTGGGGGTGTGTGTGTGTGTGTGGGGGGGGGTGATCCCAGGTCCCTTCGCAGTCGCCCCCCACCCCCTTCAGCCTGCTCCCAGCCACCTGCTGCTCTGCTCCGTGCCCGCCCGCGATCCCCTGGCCACGCTGCGGAGCCCAGGGGGACCCGTGGAGACGTGGCAGCAGGTCGCTGGAGGAGGGGGCTGGTGTCCTGCTGCCCCATCCCCCTCTTGCCCTCCCCGAGGCCCCGGCCCTGCTGCATGTGGGGTGACTCAGCCTTGCTGCTGGCCGAGCACCTCGGCTCCAAGTTTCCACCAGGAAACGCGCGGCGCTGGCCTGTTCCTGGGGCCTGAGTCAGCCGCAGCTCCTGGGCTGTGGCCTTGGGCTCCCGGCTCCCTGCCAGGCCAGCCTGGCCCCCATGTCCGGGGGGGGGGGGGGGGGCTGGGTGGGTCAGCTGGGCCTGCTGCTCCCCACCCGGCCCTGCCCCGGCTCTGGCAGGTAGCGCCCCGCCCTGCCCGCAGCTGCTCTGCAGGGACAATGGGCTCATTGTCCAACAGCTGCCGGCGCAGGCGTCTTCCCTGCCATGCTAAGCCGCTCCCCAGGCGGGGCTGAGTCACCCCCCCCCATGCGCTGTCCTGCCCCACAGGCCTGGGCTCCGCCCCACGGCTCTGCCCACGGCCCAGGGCTCCACCTCTCGCCCCCAGCTCTCTGTCCTGCCCCACAGCCCTGGGCTCCGCCCCACAGCCCTGGGCTCCACCCCTCACCCCACGGCTCTGTCCACGGCCCTCAATGCTGACCCATGGCCCTGCCCCCCCATGGCTGTGCCCACCCCCAGCTTGCTTATGGCTGTGCTGTTAGCCTGGCACTGTGCAGGCGGGCGCGCTGGGTCGGAAGGTTGCCATGGGGAGGGCAGCTGGGTCTCTACCCGCAGGGGGAGGGGTGAAAGCGGGGCAAGAGCTGGCCTTCTCCGGGGGCCACGCAGGGCAGGGGGCTCCTTCATGCTCTCCCATAGCCCGGCCTTTTGCAGGTGTGGGAGGGGGTCTCCGGCGTCTGGGACCCTCCAGCCCTGTTTTCATAGAGAGGAGGGGGTTCAGCGCGAGAGCCAGGGCCCCAGGGTCTGCTCCTTGCTGAGATCCCCGGGGTGGGTCCAGGGCCAGAGGGCTCCGGGGTCAGGTGGGGAGAGGGCAAAGCGCCAGGCTTGGCACTGAGTGCTCCAGGACAGCTCGGACAGGCGCTGCCCCAGGGTGGAGTCTGCTGGAAGGGGGCCAAACGACCAGCTCCAGCCCTCAACACCTCTGCCCAGCGCTGGGGGGGTGAGCGCCCGCTGTGCCCAGCTGCCCCGGGGCCCGTAGGAGCTGGGTCCTCAGCGGGTTGCTCCAGGTGCTGTAATTCCCACGCGCTGCCCTGGCTGGAGCCGCAGCAGGCCGAGGCCCCCCAGCCCCACACAGGCGCCGGTGCTGGGCATGTGGAAAGCCCCCTGCGGCCCGGAGCCCGCGTTCCTCAGGCGGCTGGGCCGGAGCAGAGGGTCTGAATTGCCGGTTGCCACAGGAATCCTGGCCGCTCCTCTCGCAGCAGCTGGAGTAAATTTGGAAGGCTGGGGCGGGAGACTGCGGGGTGGGCTCCCGGCTGCCAGGCTTTGGCAAGAGGAAGAGGAGGGGAGGCCGAGCCCCTGGTGCATCCTGCGAGACAGGCGCTGAGCTCCTGGCGCTGCTGGGACTTGCTCTGGCAGGAGGGTGTGTGAGGAGCTGCTCCCGTTTCCGAGCTGAGCGGGAGCCCGAGCAGCTGCTCCGGGGTCTGCCTGGTCGCAGCCAGAGCCATGGACTGGGAGGATGGCAGGTATTTCATGGAAGACCTCATCCAGCAGGGCCAAGGTAGGAGCCTGGGGAGAGGGGGCCCTGCCGCACCCCCAGCCTACGCCCCTTGGGCCTCAGTCCAAGCTCATCCTGGCTGCGTTGGTCTCTCCCTGCCTGTCCCAGCAGACCCCTCCCCCCCCCGCCTTGCAAAGTGCTGGGGCTGGGGTGGGCGGATGCCACAGCCCTGCGCCCCGTGGGGGGCCCAGATGTGAAGGGAGTGGGGCTGGCAGAGCCCCTGCTGCCGAGTGGCACAGTACAAGTGCCTGGTGGGGGGCTGTGAATGGTGATGGGCCCTGGCCCCCCTGCCCCCCCTTCCCCCGTCTGGCTGGGCTCCCAGTGATGGGCCTGACCTCCCTGTGGCTTTGGGCTGGGTGGGAGGAATTGCTCTGACCCGGGATGGGCAGGGGGCGGGGGTGGGGCAGCACCCCCCCACCTCCTCCCCCCAGCTCAGGCTCTGCAGCAGCCCTGACCCTGTGACTCTGACTGTCAGGATCTGGCTCTGCAACTTGAGGCTCTTCCCAGAGCCTGTTCCAAGGACCGAGGGATCCAGTTCCGGTTCTTCTCTTGTCCTCTGGTGAGTCAGTTGCAGTGAAACCCTGGGCTGGAGTTTGGTGCTCAGCTGGATTGGACTCTAGGGCATTGGGGTCCTGCCCCTGCTCCGGTCGCCTGGTGCAGGGCTTGCTGGCAGCGCCCCCGCCTGGCCCTGCGCGTCCAGCCCCTGTGCAGGAGGCAGGTGGCGTCGAGCGCCGTTTCCACAGGGAGAAGGGCTCAGAGGGGGGCTGTGGCGGCGTCATGCCTTGAGCCCATGGCGCAGCCGGCTGGGGGGGGGGCCCTGCGGGGTCCGAGCCCAGCGGCTGGGGGGCAGGGGCCGCGGGTGGCACTGGGCGGCGGTGTGACGTTGGGCGGGCACAGCAGTTAATGCCCTGCCCCTGCGTGTGCTGGGTCCCCCAGCTGGAGGCCGGTGTGTTCCTGGGGGGCCTGCCCATCCAGGTGGCTCTGGTCACCCAGTGGCGGCTGGGCCTGAGGGGCAGCAGGCGAGGTACCAGGAGGGGGTCAGAGGTCCTGTCTTGGCCGAGCCTCGCGGGAAGGAAGGTCAAAGCAGGCGCTGCTCCGAGCTGTCGGGCCCCTGGCCGGAGCGCAGCCGCTGGGATCGGCTGAGCCGTGCCTGGGGCCGTGGCCGTGGCCCCGGAGGGTGTGGGTGGGCTCAGGGCTCTGCAGGGGTGGAGGCATCTGCTGACGCCATGCGCTGATGAGTGCCCCAGGGTGGGGTCAGGCAGGATGGCCCGCCAGGGAGATGCTGCTGTGGGATGAGCCCTAGAGCTGCCATCCCCGTGCCTGGACTGGGCAGGCATTGGCCTTGCACCTGCTGGGCCAGCATCCTCCCGAGATCCCCACCGCCCCCTCACCTGCCCAGAGGCTAGCCGCTCCCCCGCTCGAGCGCTAGGCCTGGGGCCTTGGGGCTGTTTGCTGTGGGGAGGTAACAAAGCGGTGAACCCTGCAAGGTCGGCCTTCCCCTGGGGTTCTGCCCTGCCCGCCCCTAGCACTTACACTCCAACCCCAGCGACCCGGACTGCAGGCCTGGCCGGG